TCTAAGCGAAAAGTGTTCCAAGGCAACTAGCAGTGCTGTAATCAACCGGATGGACTAATTTCGCAGAAAAATCACGATCTTCAAAAAAGTTACTTATGAAGCGCCAAACCTAGAGTCAAATGACGAGATTAACGTTCCGGGCGGGTGTCGGGGTGCGTGGATGTCTGATGGCTCTATCAACTTCAAAGAATTGAGGCAAGCAAAGGAGACACTGAACGTGGTTAAGGGCGGCTCAAAAAAGTCATCGACTACTGGTATGGCATGTTTAATGCAAATACCCTCTATAACATTCTAGTCTGCGTTTTAGAAAGAACATGCGAAGTTTGATGACTGGCCTGTAGGAGCAAGAGCATTTTTGAGCCTCTCGATAACTTCCACATTCCGAAAGACTTTAGCAGGGCAAGGCGATTTGATGGCTTCGTCACATGCATCCAAAGCTATGACATCGAATTTTTCCCCTGAATGCAAAAACTTTGATTTTACAGAGAAGTACACTGAGAATCTCTAAGTAAAAATACCACGTCGGCTAGATTCTTGTAGATATTCCAGACCATCTTGAACAATTACGCGGTGATTTTCTTCTTCAATGACGCCAAACCACTTCTTTGCTGTTTCAAAAACAACTGAATCCAACTCAACAGCAGTTATATTAACCTAGAATAGGAAATGATGTCAAACCAATGATCCGAGATAACAAAATAGATAAGTTTCAAAATTTACAATGATAGGAAGGAACAAAAAATGATAAAACCTTTGACTGATTTACCTTTGGTTTGAGCTTGTGTAAAAACATATCAAAACTTCCTCCGCCTAGGCCAATCTCCAGAACTGTCTTCCCCATGTCCGACGAATCAGCAGAAAGCGCTGACACGAGGAAAGGTGCGACAAGCATACCAGCAACCTAAATGGAAATCAAAGTATTGCACTAGGAGAGCCAGAAAGGTTGGTATAGCGGTTTAAGCTAATGGTTTCGTACAACTGCTTTTCAAAGGAGTTCGCTACTTTGAGACAACATTCGCTTATTTTCGCAATTCTTAGCGCCTTCCAATTGTTTTACATTCATGGACACTCTAAGAGACATCATCATTAACTTTCCTCTTCAACATCCCTACAACAGCCATAAAAGTTGCAAAATTCAAGAAGCTTTGGACCGCATGCATTAACATCCCCTCTGGGGAGGGAATCGCAGCTTAAAAGAAAGCTTCATATCC